TAAGAAATGTGAACACTGCGGTGCAAAGAAGTATAAAGGAGAATCTGCTGGACTGTGTTGCTCTCATGGGAAAGTACGACTGCCAAATTGAGAAAAACCACCCCAACCATTGAAGGCTCTCATGCTGGGAACAACACCAGAGTCAAAACACTTCTTGGAAAATATACTGAAGTACAATTCATGCTTCCAGATGACATCCTTTGGAGCTACCAGAGTAGTTCGTGAGCACGGATACATACCAACATTCAAAGTCCAGGGTCAAGTCTATCACAAAGCAGGATCCCTCTTACCACTGGAAGATGAGCAGGCAAAGTTCCTCGAAATCTACTTCATGGGAGATCATGAAAAGCAGACTACTATCAGGTGTGGCAATATTCAAGGTGTCAGACATGACATTGTCCTATCTATCCAAGAAATGCTGCATGAGCGCAACACATATGTACAGTAATTTAAAAATGCCCTGGAAAACATGCCTTCTGATGAGTACAAAGTCAGGATCAAAGCAGACACGACCCCTAAGGGAGAACATGAAAGAAGATTCAATGTTCCTGTAGTTGATGAAGTAGCCATCCTGATTGTCGGTCAAGAGTTTAAGAAACGAGACATCATACTCAAAATGAGAGACGAGTCGCTCACAAGAACATGATGCCACATGTACTGGAAGCTACAATACTGACAGGAAAAGCTAAAGGCGAGGACGTTTTTATACTAAGGATACCTCTTATCACCACTGACCTGCCATTTGAGTTCAAGCGACTTCAGTTCCAGGTTAAAGTGAGCTTTGCCATGACCATCTACAAAAGCCAGGGACAGTCCCTAATGATGGTTGGCCTAAGCCTGGTGTTTCCTTGCTTCTCTCATGGACAGTTCTATGTTGGATGCTCCAGAGTGGGAACTGGCAAAAATCTGCACATACTTGCTCCTAATGGCAAAACCAAAAATGTGGTCTACCTTAATGCACTACAGTGAGACAATGTGGAGCCTCCCGGAGGGTGGCGTCCTACCGTAGCCTAGTTTTCTTATTTCTTATGTCCTCGACTACAAAAAGGCTTTTCTATTAAGTAATATCATAATGACAATATTTACAGCACATGTATTGTTAAATCCGTCATATATACCGTACTAGTTACATAGTATTTTGTTAACTCGTATTGTGGAGAAAAATAAATGAAAATGTATCTTTAAACTGACAAGAGGATTTTTTTTTCAAATGTGAATTATTATGTTAAAGAAAACTCAGTATTGGTTTCGGTAATTCAGTCAAGGATATATACTGTAGAGATCTGTGTATAAGAAACTAGCTAAGTTACCCAACTTTGTTCGGGTGGAGGAACAGGAGGGACTATCCCCTAGGCTACCCGCACCTCCACAAATTTGAGCTGCCTTCAAAACTGTGGAAATAAATAACACACACACACACCGTAAACCCGGTTCATGGAAATAGTGTTGCACCAGTCCCCAGGTCAGATTTGATGAGGACGAAGATAAACTTAGATTTGTAGAGTGTTTATCATTTAGTATAAGTAACATTCGTAACACTGTACTCCCCTAGTGTGTAACCTCCTGGTAATACTCCGCCTTCTCTCTCCCTCCATCACAGTCCTCTTCAGTCTACTCCACTCCCTCAACCTACTCCAAAAACCTGAACTACAAAACAATGAATTTAGATTACGAATTGAATTTCATATTTTACAACTATGATACTGATGTTAAAGATCTAAAGTTATTTAGATGTGTTGAATAATAAAGTAAAGTGTAATGCTGGAGGAGGAAACAAGATAAACGTCAGAACTAGAGGAACCTGTCTGATGTGAGCGAACCTAAACTGTATTATATAGTGATGACTAGTGACTACTGTATTGTACTCAGGAGAACTGCCCTATGTTCCCCTTCAGTGTATCCCTTTAGTAGTGTACCTTCACACACCTGCCTGGCTACCACCGCCTCTCCCTCCCTTTCCTTCTCTCACACGCCAGTAAATCTTTATAAAGCTTCCTCCACCATTTTTGGTGACTTGTCTCTTCAACTGTAAAGCGGAAGTTTCTTATTGTTTTAATTATTTTGTGGGAGTTGTACTTTTTCATCGGTTGTTACATAACTTTATTCCAATATAAGACTGATATTGAGCGTTGTCTTCAGGGACTATATATATATATATATATATATATATATATATATATATATATATATATATATATATATATATATATATATATATATATATATATATATATATATATATATATATATATATATATATATATATATATATATATATATATATATATATATATATATATATCGATATTTCTTTTATTTATAAACTGGCATCACTAAAATGGTGAACAATAAGACACACAGCTGCCTCTGGTTTTCTTCATCTTCATTTTCGTTAATTTAAAAAAACCAAATCCCCAACAGAGAGGACCGCGTCCTAGTTGTCCATATACACCAACAGTAATGTATGGTAGAGCTCTACGTCATTCTCTTTAGGTTATTCTTACCTGAAAAGGAATCCCATAAACCTGATGACCTGTTAGGGGCAGTGTGGATGTGGGTACAACATACTGAAGACTAAACCTTCGGTACACAAGGAAGCAGGGTGGCCGGCACTATACTATACTGCCTTTTATTTCCCCAACTGTAAAGTTAGGTTCTCATTATCCTGCTTGGTGGACTAGGGGAGCTCTCACGTACTGGTCAATGAGGGACGCCCCTAGTACTGGTCAACTAGGGGCGCCCCACTTACTGGTCGATGAGGACGCCCGTACTGGTCAACTAGGGACGCCCCACTTACTGGTCGATGAGGGACGCCCCACGTACTGGTCAACTAGGGACGCCCCACTTACTGGTCAACTAGGGGCGCCCCACTTACAGGTCGATGAGGGACGCCCCACAGACTGGTCAACTAGGGGCGCCCCACTTACAGGTCAAATAGGGGCGCCCCACTTACTGGTCGATGAGGGATGCCCCACGTACTGGTCAACTAGGGACGCCCCACTTACTGGTCGATGGGACGCCCCACTTGCTGGTCAACTAGGGGCGCCCCACTTACTGGTCGATGAGGACGCCCACGTACTGGTCAACTAGGGGCGCCCCATAAGGTCGATGAGGACGCCCACAGACTGGTCAACTAGGGGCGCCCCACTTAGTCGATGAGGACACCCCACTTACTGGTCAACTAAGGGGCGCCCACGTACTGGTCAACTAGAGACGCCCACGTACTGGTCAACTAGGGCGCCCCCTTACTGGTGATAAGGACGCCCCACATACTGGTCAACTAGGGACGCCCCACGTACTGGTCAACTAGGGACGCCCCCGTACTGGTCAACTAGGGACGCCCACGTACTGGTCACTAGGATCGCCCAACAATGGTTGACTAGGACGCCCCACTTACTGGTCAACTAGGGGCGCTCACGTACTGGTCAACTAGGAACGCCCCACGTACTGGTCAACTAAGGACGCCCCTTCACTGGTCAACTAGGGCGCCCCACCTGGTCGATGAGGAACGCCCACAGACTGGTCAACTAGGACGCCCCACTTACTGGTCAACTAGGGGCGCCCCACATGCTGGTCAACTAGGGGCGCCCCACGTACTGGTCAACTAGGGGCGCCCCACTTACTGGTCAACTGGGGCGCCCACGTACTATGGTCAACTAGGGGCGCCCCGTGATGGTCAACTAGGGCGCCCCACGTACTGGTCAACAAGGCGCCCCTTACTGGTCAACCAGGGGCGCCCTTACTGGTCAACTAGGGGCGCCCCATGCTAGTCAACTAGGGACGCCCACTTACTGGTCAACTAGGGACGCCCCACGTACTGGTCAACTAGGACGCCCCACTTATTGGTCACCAGACGCCCCACGTACTGGTCAACTAGGACGTACTGGGTCAACCAGGGTCGCCCCACTTACTGGCTGACTGCCCCACTTACTGGTCAACTAGAGACGCCCCACTACTGGTGGTCAACTATAGGACACCCCACTGGTCAACTAGGATTAGTCAACTAGGGACGCCCCACGTACTGGTCAACTAGGGACGCCCCACGTATCTGGTCAACTAGGCCGCCCCACTTACTGGTCGACTAGGACGCCCCACGTAATTGAACCAGGCCCACGCACTGTCAACCAGAGACGCCCCACGTACCAGTAACTAGGGCGCCCCACGCATTATCAACTAGGGTCGCCCCACTTACTGGTTGACTAGACGCCCCACGTACTGGTCAACTAGCCCCCACGCAACCTGGTCAACTAGGACACCCCAATCACTGGTCAACTAGACGCCCCACACTGACAGGTCAACTAGGGACGCCCCATGCGGCAACTATCAACTAGGCCCCACTTACTGGCTGTACCCCACTTATTGGTCAACTAGACGCCCCACGTACTGGTCAACTAGGACGCCCCAGTCAACTAAGACGCCCCACGCATCGTCAACTAGGACGCCCCACGTATCATCAACTAGGAAGCCCAATGTACTGGTCAACCAGAGACGCCCCACGTACTGGTCAACTAGGCCCCACGTACTGGTCACCTAGGTCGCCCCACTAACTGGTGACTGGTCGCCCCCACTAGTTGACTAGGGCCCCCAATTTCTTAGTCAACTCAGGGACGCCCCACGTACTGGTCAACCATAGGCGCCCCACGTACTGGTCAACTAGAGACGCCCCACGTACTGGCTCAACTAGGGTCGCCCCACTACTGGTGACTAGGGTCCCCCACTTACTGGTTAACTAGGACGCCCCACTTACTGGTCAACCAGGACACCCTAATGGTCAAATATTCAGGCGCCCCTGTCAGAATCAACTAGCGCCCCACACTAGTTCAACTCAAGGGCGCCCCAAATCCAGGGACGCCCCACGTACTGAAACTAGGGCGCCCCAATGCACACTGAACTAGGGCGCCCCACGTACTGACGTCAACTAGGACGCCCCACGTACTGGTCAACTAGGCGCCCCAATGCATAGTCAACTAGGACCACGTACTGGTCAACCATAGCGCCCCATGTACTGGTCAACTAGAGACGCCCACTACTGGGTCAACCAGGACGCCCCACGTACTGGTCAACTAGAGAGGCGCCCCCACGTACTGTCAACTAGAGACGCCCCCACTGGTCGGTCACTAGGGACGCCCCACGCACAACTAGGACGCCCCACGCAATCCAACTAGGACGCCCCACGACCAACCAGGCCCCACTACTGGTCAACTAGGACGCCCACTACTGGTCAACCAGGGACGCCCCACGCACTGGTCAACTAGGACGCCCCACGTACTGGTCAACTAGACGCCCCACGTACGTCAACAGGATCCCACACTGGTCAACTAGGCCCCACGTACTGGTCAACCAGACGCCCCACTTACTGTCAACTAGAGACGCCCCACGGTCAACTAGGGACGCCCCACGTACTGGTCAACTAGGGACGCCCCACGTACTGGTCAACCAAGGACGCCCCACTGATACCGGTCAACTAGGACGCCCCACTTCAACTAGGACGCCCCACTACTGGAACCAGACGCCCCACTTACTGGTCAACCAGGACGCCCCCACGTACTGGTCAACTAGGACGTACTGGTCAACTAGGGACGCCCCACGTACTGGGTCAACTAGGACGCCCACGTACTGGTCCAACTAGAGCCCCACTTACTGGTCAACTAGGACGCCCACTTACTGGTCAACTAGGACGCCCCACTTACTGGTTGACTAGGACGCCCTACGTAACATAGAGACGCCCACTTACTGAGTCGACTAGGACGCCCCACTACTGTCACTAGGGACGCCCACTACTGGTTGACTAGGACGCCCCACGTACTGGTCAACTAGGACGCCCAAGCACTGGTCAACTAGGGACGCCCCACGTACTGGGTCAACCAGAGACGCCCCACGCATTGGTCAACTAGGAAGCTCCACATGGTCAACTAGGACGCCCCACGTACTGGTCAACTAGGACGCCCACTTACTCAGTCAACTAGGACCCCACTTACTGGGTCAACTAGGACGCCCCACGTACTGGCCGTAACTAGGACGCCCCACGTACTGGTCAACTAGGGTCGCCCCACTTACTGGCGACTAGACGCCCCACGTACCGGTCAACCAGCCCCACGTACTGGTCAACTAGAGACGCCCCACGTACTGGTCAACTAACGCCCCACGTACTGGTCAACTAGGACGCCCACGTACTGGCCAACTAGGGACGCCCCACGTACTGGTCAACAGGACGCCCACGCACGGTCAACCAGAGACGCCCCACGTACCGGTCAACCAGAGACGCCCCACGTACTGGTCAACTAGGACGCCCCACGTACTGGTCAACTAGGACGCCCCACGCACTGGTCAACTAGGGACGCCCCACGTACTGGTCAACTAGGGACGCCCCACGTACTGGTCAACTAGACGCCCACGCATCAATAGGACGCCCACGACTGGTCAACTAGAGACGCCCCACGTACTGGTCAACTAGGACGCCCCACTTACCAACTAGAGACGCCCACCACTGGCCTAATTAGGACCACCACTTTTCAACTCAGGGACCCCACTTAGGTCAACCAGGACGCCCCAATGCACCACCAGAGACGCCCACGCATTCGGTCAACAAAGACGCCCCACCACTACTGGTCAACCAGGGACGCCCCACGTACTGGTCAACTAGGGACGCCCCACGACCGGTCAACTAGGGACGCCCCACTCTACTGGCGACAGGACCACGGGTCAACCAGGACGCCCCAGACGCCCCAATGCACCAACTAGGACGCCCCACGCACAACCAGGACCCCACCTGGTCAACCAGGGACGCCCCACGTACTGGTCAACTAGGGACGCCCCACGACTGGTCAACTAGGACGCCCCACGTACTGGTCAACCAGGACGCCCCACGCCGGGTCAACCAGGACCAGTCAACCAGGACGCCCCCAATCACCGGTCAACTAGACGCCCACGCACTGGCCAACCAGGAGCCCCACGTACTGGTCAACTAGACGCCCCACGCACTGGTCAACCAGGGACGCCCCACGCAATATCAACTAGGGTCGCCCCACTTACTGGCAACACTGAATAGGGACGCCCCACTCATCGGTCAACCAGGACGCCCATGTACTGGTCAACCAGGACGCCCCACGTACCAATAACCAGGGCGCCCCAATGCACGGTCAACTAGGACGCCCCACGTACTGGTCAACTAGACGCCCCACGCAATGGTCAACCAGGATGCCCAATGTACCGGTCAACTAGGACGCCCCACTTACCGGTCAACCAGGCGCCCCACGTACTGGTCAACTAGGACGCCCCACCACGGGTCAACTAGGACGCCCCACTTACTGGTCAACCAGAGGCGCCCAACGCACTGGTCAACTAGGCGCCCAATGTACTGGTCAACTAGGGACGCCCCACGAACTGATGCCCAGGGTCGCCCCACGTACTGGCTAACCAGGACGCCCACTTACTGGTCAACTAGGGCCCCATTAAGTTAGACTAGACGCCCCACTTACTGGTCAACTAGGGCGCCCCACGCATTGGTCAACTAGAGACGCCCCACGTACTGGTCAACCAGGACGCCCTATACCGTCAGGTCAACTAGGGCCGCCCCACTACTGGTCAACTAGGACGCCCCACTTACTGGTCAACCAGGGCGCCCAACGTACAGGTCAACTAGGGACGCCCCACGTACTGGCCAACTAGGACGCCCCACGCATTGGTCAACTAGGGCGCCCCACTTACTGTCAACTAGACGCCCCACGTACCGGTCAACATAGAGACGCCCCACGTACTGGTCAACCAGAGACGCCCCACTTACTGGTCGACTAGGGACGCCCCACGTACTGGTGACCTTCAGGGACGCCCCACGTATTGGTCACAACCAGGGACGCCCCACGTACTGGTCAACTAGGACGCCCCACTTACTGGCTCAACTAGGGACGCCCCACGTACCTGGTCAACTAGGACGCCCACGTACTGGTCAACTAGGACGCCCCACCCACTGGCCGACTAATAGGACGCCCCACGTATCTGGTCAACTAGGGACGCCCCATGCATTGGTCAACTAGGACGCCCCATTCTGGTCAACTAGGGCGCCCCACGGTCAACTAGGACGCCCCACGTACTGGCCACCAGGGACGCCCCACGTACTGGTCAACTAGGGACGCCCCAATTAACTGGTCAACTAGGACGCCCCACGTACTGGTCAACTAGACGCCCCACATATCAACTAGGACGCCCCACGCAATTGGCCAACTAGGACGCCCCAATGTACTGGTCAACCAGAGACGCCCCACGTACGGTCAACCAGGACGCCCCACTTAATCGTCAACTAGGGACGCCCCACTCACTGGCTAACCAGGGCCCGCACGGCCAATCCAGGACGCCCCACGACTGGTCAACTAGGACGCCCCAATGCACTGGTCAACTAGGACCACGTACTGGTCAACCAGGGACGCCCCACTTACTGGGTCAACTAGGACGCCCCACGTACTGTCAACCAGGACGCCAAACCACGTACTGGTCAACTAGAGACGCCCCACTGTCGGTCAACCAGGACGCCCCACGTACTGGCCAACTAGGGACGCCCACGTACTGGCTAACCAGGACCCCAATGCACTGGTCAACTAGGACGCCCCAGTACCTGGTCAACCAGGGACGCCCCACGTACTGGTCAACTAGAGACCATCACCGGTCAACTAGGACGCCCCACTTACCGGGTCAACTAGGACGCCACCAGACGCCCCACGTACTGGTCAACCAGGGACGCCCCACTAATGGGTCAACTAGGACGCCCCACGTACCGGGTCAACTAGGACGCCCCAGTACTGTCAACTAGGGACGCCCCACTTACTGGCTGACTAGGACGCCCCACTTAATTGGTCAACTAGGGACGCCCACGTACTGGTCAACTAGGACCCCAATGACAGCCAACCAGGGACGCCCACGTACTGGTCAACAGACGCCCACCACGTGCCAACAACTAGGACGCCCCACGTACCGGTCAACTAGGGACGCCCACGTACTCGCAGTCAACTAGACGCCCCACGTACCGGTCAACCAGGGACGCCCCACCATTGGTTGACTAGGACGCCCCACTTACTGGGTCAACTAGGACGCCCCCACGTACTGGTCAACTAGGGACGCCCCACGTACTGGTCAACTAGGGCGCCCCACGTACCGTCAACTAGACGCCCCACCGGCCAACTAGGGTCGCCCCACTACTGGTTGACCAGGACGCCCCACTTACTGGTCAACTAGGGCGCCCACCGGTCAACCAGGACGCCCCACGCACTGGTCAACTAGCGCCCCACGTACTGGTCAACTAGGACGCCCAGCACTAACCAGGACGCCCCACGTACCAAGGTCAACCCGGGGACGCCCCACGTACCGGTCAACTAGGACGCCCCCACTACTGGTCAACTAGGGCGCCCCACGTACTGGTCAACTAGGGACGCCCCACTTACTGGCTGACTAGGGACGCCCCACTTCACTGGTCAACCAGGGCGCCCACAGTCAACCCAGGGCGCCCACGTACTGGTCAACTAGGGCGCCCCACGTACTGGTCAACCAGGACGCCCCACGTACTGAAACAACTAGGACGCCCCACGTACCGGTCAACCAGGGCGCCCCACTTACTGGTCAACTAGGGCGCCCCACTACTGGTCAACTAGGGCGCCCCACGTACTGGTCAACTAGGCGCCCCACGTACCAGTCAACCAGGACGACCCACGCATAACACAACCAGGGCGCCCACGCACGGTCAAATTAGGCCCCACCTCATCAACTAGGGCGCCCACGCACTCAACTAGGGCGCCCACGTATTGGTCAACTAGGGCGCCCCAATGCATCATCAACTAGGGCGCCCCACGACGGTCAACTAGGTACCCACGTACTGGTCAACCAGGGCGCCCCACTTACTGGTCAACTAGGCGCCCACGTACTGGTCAACCAGGACGCCCCACGTACTGGTCAACCAGGGCGCCCCACGTACTGGTCAACTAGGACGCCCACGACAGTCAACTAGGGCCCACCATTGGTCAACCAGGACGCCCCACGTACTGAGTCAACTAGGACGCCCCACGCACAAATCAACTAGGGACGCCCCACGTGCACTCAACTAGGACGCCCCACTTACTGGTCAACCAGGACGCCCCACACTTACCGGGCAGACCACGTACCGGTCAACTAGGACGCCCCACGCACTGAATAACTAGGGACGCCCCAATGCACCGGGTCAACTAGGCCCCCACACTGGTCAACTAGAGGGCTCAGTCCAGGACGTACTGGAAAGCCCCACCTCCCTGGTCAACTAGGAGACGCCCCACCAACTGGTCAACCAGACCCCACGCACTGGTCAACTAGGACGCCCCACGTACCTGGTCAACTAGACGCCCCACTTACTGCTGACTAGGGACGCCCCACTTACTGGTCAACTAGAGACGCCCCACGCACAACTAGGACGCCCCACTTACTGGTCAACTAGACGCCCCATTTACTGGTCAACTAGGACGCCGCACCGTCAACCAGGCCACCGGTCACTAGTCGCCCCACCACCGGTCGACTAGGACGCCCCACGTAGTCAACCAGACGCCCCACTTACCGGGTCAACTAGGGCCCCACTTACTGGTCAACTAGGCCCCACTACTGGTCAGACGCCCCAACGTACTGGTCAACTAGGACGCCCCACTGGCCAACTAGGACGCCCCACGTACTGGTCAATCAGGACGCCCCACGTACCAGACCCGACCGGTCAACTAGGTCGCCAATCATTGGCCAACTAGGACGCCCCACTACTGGCCAACCAGGACCCCCCACGACTGGTCAACCAGGACGCCCCACACAGAGACGCCCCACGTACCGGTCAACCAGAGACGCCCCACGCACTGGTCAACTAGACGCCCCACGTACTGGTCAACTAGGACGCCCCACGTACTGGTCAACTTGAGACGCCCCACGTACCGGTCAACTAGGGACGCCCCACGTACTGGTCAACCAGGGTCGCCCCACTCTACTGCTGACTAGAACGCCCCACTTACTGGCCACTAGGGACGCCCCACGATACCGTCAACTAGGACGCCCCACGTACTGGTCAACTAGACGCCCACCTCACTGTCAACTAGACGCCCCACGTACTGGTCAACTAGGACGCCCCACGTACTGGTCAACTAGGGACGCCCCAACTTACTGGCTGACTAGGACGCCCCACTTACTGGCCAACTAGGACGCCCACGTACCGGGTCAACCAGGACGCCCCAATGTACTGGTCAACCAGGACGCCCCACTTACTGGTCAACTAGGACGCCCCACTTACTGGTCAACTAGGGACGCCCCACGTACCGTCAACCAGACGCCCCAGTACTGGTCAACTAGGACGCCCACGTACCGGTCAACCAGGGACGCCCCACGTACCGGTCAACTAGGACGCCCCACGTACCGGTCAACTAGGGCCCAACCTACTGGCTGACTAGGAGCCCCACTCACTGGTCAACTAGGACGCCCCACGTACTGGTCAACTAGGGACGCCCCACGCACTGGTCAACAGAGACGCCCCACGTACCGGTCAACTAGAGACGCCCTTACTGACACAACTAGGACGCCCACTGGTCAACTAGGACGCCCCACGTACTGGGTCAACTAGAGACGCCCCACGCAACTGGTCAACTAGGACGCCCCACGTACTGGTCAACTAGGTCGCCCCACTTACTGCTGACTAGGACGCCCACTTACTGGTCAACTAGGACGCCCCACGTACCGGGTCAACTAGGACGCCCCACGTACCGGTCAACTAGGACGCCCCACGTACTGGTCAACTAGGACGCCCCACGTACTATCAACTAGGGACGCCCCACGTACCGGTCAACTAGGGACGCCCCACGTACTGGTCAACTAGGGACGCCCACTACCGGTCAACTAGACACCGGCCACAACTAGGACGCCCACTTACTGGTCGACTAGGACGCCCCACTTACTGGTCAACTAGACGCCCACGTACTGGTCAACCAGGGACGCCCCACGTACTGGTCAACCAGCGCCCACGTATTGAAAACTAGGGCGCCCCACGTACTGGTCAACCAGGGCGCCCCACGTACAGGTCAACCAGGGCGCCCCACCTGGGTCAACTAGGACGCCCCACTTACTGGTCAACCAGGGCGCCCCACGTACTGGTCAACTAGGCGCCCCACGTATTGAAGCCCACCATGGGTCAACCGCATTGTCAACTAGGACGCCCCAACGTACCAACAACCAGACCCCACGTACTGGTCAACTAGGCCCACCCCACGCCGGTCAACTAGGGCGCCCACGTACTGGTCAACTAGGACGCCCCACGTACCGGGTCAACCAGGGCGCCCCACGTATTGGTCAACTAGGGCGCCCAATGTCAACTAGGGCGCCCCACGACGGTCAACTAGGCGCCCCACGTACTGGCCAACTGTCGAGTCAACCAGACGCCCCACGCTGGTCAACTAGGGACGCCCCACGTACCGGTCGACTAGGACGCCCCACGTACTGGTCAACCAGGGCGCCCCACGTACTGGTCAACCAGGGCGCCCCACTACTGGTCAACTAGAACGCCCCACAGACTGTCAACTAGGGACGCCCCACATACTGATAACTAGGACGCCCCACGTACTGGTCAACTAGGGCGCCCACTTACAGGTCGACGAGGGACGCCCCACGTACTGGTCAACTAGACGCCCCACGGAATAACTAGGGCTCCCACGTACACAACTAGGACGCCCCACGTACTGTCAACCAGGAGCGCCCCACGTACCGGGTCAACCAGAGACGCCCCACGTACTGGTCAACTAGGGACGCCCCACCGAACACCAGAGACGCCCCACGTACTGAATAACCCAGGTCATCAGAGACGCCCCACGACTGGTCAACCAGGGACGCCCCACGCACTGGTCAACCAGGACGCCCCACGTACCAACAACCAGAGACGCCCCACGTACTGGTCAACTAGGACGCCCCACTTACTGGTCAACCAAGGACGCCCCACTTACTGGTCAACTAGGACGCCCCACGTACTGGTCAACCAGGGACGCCCCACGCAACAGACCAGACGCCCCACTACTGGTCAACTAGGACTTACTGATAACTAGGACGCCCCACTTACTGGTCAACTAGACGCCCACGCACTGGTCAACTAGACGCCCCACTTACTGGTCAACTAGGGACGCCCCACGTACTGGTCAACTAGGGACGCCCCACTTACTGGTCAACTAGGACGCCCCACGTAACACACTCCAGGGACGCCCCACGTACTGGTCAACTAGGTTCCGACTTACTGGCTGACTAGGACGCCCCACTTACTGGTCAACCAGAGACGCCCCACGCACTGGTCAACTAGACGCCCCACTTACCGGGTCAACTAGACGCCCCACTACTGGTCAACTAGGACGCCCACGTACTGGTCAACTAGGACGCCCCACGCACTGGTCAACTAGGACGCCCACTTACTGGTCGACCAGGGACGCCCCACGCACTGGTCAACCAGGACGCCCCACGTACTGGTCAACCAGAGACGCCCCCACTGCACAACTAGGGCGCCCCACGTACTGGTCAACCAGAGACGCCCACGTACTGAGTCAACTAGGGACGCCCCACGTACTGGTCAACCTAGGGACGCCCCACGTACCGGGTCAACTAGAGACGCCCCACGTACGGGAGAATCCACAAACAGGACGCCCCACGTACCGGTCAACTAGGACGCCCCACGTACTGGTCAACTAGAGACGCCCCACGACCGGGTCAACTAGGCCCCACCTCACTGGTCAACCAGGGACGCCCCACTTACTGGCTGACCAGGACGCCCCACCACTGGTCAACTAGGACGCCCCACGTACTGGTCAACCAGGGACGCCCCCACGTACCACGACAACTAGGGACGCCCCAATACCGGTCAACTAGGACGCACCGGTCACCAGAGACCCCCACTGGTCAACTAGGGACGCCCCACTTACTGGTCAACTAGGACGCCCCACTTACTGGTTGACAACTAGGGACGCCCCACGTACTGGTCAACCAGAGACGCCCCACTACTGGTCGATCGAGACGCCCCACTTACTGGTCAACCAGGGACGCCCCACTTACCGGTTAACTAGGACGCCCCATACCGGTCAACCAGGACGCCCCACGTACTGGTCAACTAGGACGCCCCACTTACTGGTCAACCAGAGACGCCCCACGTACTATCAACTAGGGCGCCCCACTAATGTCAACTAGGACGCCCCACGCACCGGTCAAATAGGAGACCCCCACGCATGGGTCAACCAGGGACGCCCCACTATACTGGTCAACTAGGGACGCCCCACTACTGTCAACTAGGGACGCCCCACGTACTGGTCAACCAGGGACGCCCCACGGTCAACTAGGGACGCCCCACGTACCGGGTCAACTAGGGAGCCCCACGTACCTGGTCAACTAGGACGCCCCACGTACTGGTCAACTAGGGACGCCCCACCTACTGGCTAACTAGGACGCCCCACACTGGTCAACCAGGGACGCCCCACGTACTGGTCAACTAGAGACGCCCCACGTACTGGTCAACTAGGGCGCCCCAATCACCGGGTCAACCAGGGACCCCCACGTACTGGTCAACTAGGACGCCCACGTACCGGTCAACTAGGACACCGGTCAACCAACCACGTACTGGTCAACCAGAGACGCCCCACGTACTGGTCAACTAGGGACGCCCACGTACTGGTCAACTAGGACGCCCCACGTACCGGTCAACCAGGGACGCCCCACGTACTGGTCAACCAGGACGCCCCACGTACTGGTCAACTAGGGTCGCCCCACTTACTGGTTGACTAGGACGCCCCCACCACTAACTAGGGACGCCCCACGTACTGGCTCAACTAGAGACGCCCCACGTACCGGTCAACTAGGGACGCCCCACGTACTGGTCAACCAGAGACGCCCCAATTTACTGGTCAACTAGGACGCCCCACTTACTGGTCAACTAGAGACGCCCCACTTACTGGCTGACTAGGACGCCCCACGTACCTGGTCAACCAGAGACGCCCCAATTTCACTGGTCAACCAGGACGCCCACTTACGGTCGACTAGGACGCCCCACCTACTGGTCAACTAGGACGCCCACGCACTGGTCAACAACCAGGGACGCCCCACGCACTGGTCAACACAGGGACGCCCCACGTACTGGTCAACCAGAGACGCCCACGTACCGAACTAGGGCCCCACTACCGGGTCAACTAGGACGCCCCACGTACTGGTCAACCAGAGACGCCCCATGCACTGGTCAACTAGAGACGCCCCACTTACTGGTCAACTAGGACGCCCCACGCACTGGTCAACTAGGGACGCCCCACGTACTGGTCAACTAGGGACGCCCCACTTACCGGGCTACTAGGGCCCCACCTCACTGGTCAACATAGGACGCCCCACGTACTGGGTCAACCAGGGACGCCCCACGTACTGTCAACTAGGACGCCCCACGTACTGGTCAACTAGGACGCCCCACGGTCAACCAGACCCCACGTACTGATCAACCTGGGACGCCCCACGTACCGGTCAACCAGGACGCCCCACGTACTGGTCAACTAGGACGCCCCACTTCATTGCTAACTAGGACGCCCCACTTACCGGGTCAACTAGGACGCCCCACGTACTAATAACTAGGACGCCCCACGTACTGGTCAACCAGGACGCCCCACGTACTGGTCAACTAGGACGCCCACGCATCAATGTCAACAGGGACGCCCCACTTACTGGTCAACCAGGGACGCCCCAATTTACTGTCAACTAGGCGCCCACGTACTGGTCAACTAGGGCGCCCCACGTACTGGTACAACTAGGGCGCCCCACGTACCGGTCAACTAGGACGCCCCAATGCACCAACCAGACGCCCCACGTACCGGTCAACCAGGGACGCCCCACCACCGGTCAACTAGGGACGCCCCACGTACTGGTCAACTAGGGCGCCCACGTACTGGTCAACTAGGGACGCCCATACTGGTTAACTAGACGCCCCACGTACTGGTCAACTAGGCGCCCACGTACCGGGTCAACTAGGCGCCCACGTACTGTCAACTAGGGCGCCCCACGTACTGGTCAACTAGGGACGCCCCACTTACTGAAACTAAGGACACCATTGGTCAACTAGGGACGCCCCACTTACTGGCTGACTAGGACGCCCCACTTATGAACAACTAGGCCCAATACTGGTCAACTAGGACGCCCCACGTACTGATCAACTAGCGCCCCACGTACCGGTCAACTAGTCGCCCCACTACTGCTGACCAGGACGCCCCACTTACTGGTCAACTAGGACGCCCCACGTACCGGTCAACTAGGGCGCCCCACGCACTGGAACTAGCCCCTCACCAACAACTAGGCGCCCCACCTCACGTCAACCAGGGCGCCCAATGCATTGTCAACCAGGCCCCACGCATTGGTCAACCAGCCCCAATGTACCGGTCAATAGGGCGCCCCACGCTGGTCAACCAGGGCGCCCACGTACTGGTCAACCAGGGCGCCCCACTTACCGGTCAACTAGGGCGCCCCACGTACCGGTCAACCAGGACGCCCCACGTACTGGTCAACCAGGGCGCCCCACGTATTGGTCAACCAGGGCGCCCAATGACAACCAGCGCCTAATGACACAACTAGCGCCCCACGTACCAACCAGGACGCCCCACGCAGATCAACCAGGGACGCCCCACGTATTGGTCAACCAGGGCGCCCAGGGGCGCCCCAATACTGGTCAACCAGCGCCCCACGTACTGGTCAACTAGGGCGCCCCACTCTACAGGTCAACCAGGACGCCCCACAGACCGGGTCAACTAGGACGCCCCACAGACTGAAACAACCAGGGCGCCCCACGTACTGGTCAACTAGGGCCCCACTCATAGGTCGACTAGAACGCCCCAGACTGGTCAACTAGGACGCCCCACGTACCGTCCAGGGCGCCCCACGTATTGGTCAACCAGACGCCCCACGTACCGGTCAACTAGGGGCGCCCACGTACTGGTCAACCAGAGACGCCCCACGTACTGGTCAACTAGGACGCCCCACGACTGGTCAACCAGAGACGCCCCACGACCGGGTCAACCAGGGCGCCCCACGTACTGGTCAACTAGAGACGCCCCACGTACTGGTCAACTAGGACGCCCCACGTACTGGTCAACTAGAGACGCCCCACGTACTGGTCAACTAGAGACGCCCCACGACAACTGGCGGACGCCCCACTTACTGGTCAACTAGGACGCCCCACTCATTGAGGACTAGGACGCCCACGTACTGGTCAACCAGGACGCCCCACCTTACTGGTCAACTAGGACGCCCCACGTACTGGTCAAACAAGGACGCCCCACTTACTGGTCAACTAGACGCCCCAATGTACTACCAACCAGGACGCCCCACTACTGGTCAACCACAGGGACGCCCCACGTACTGGTCAACTAGGGACCCCACGTACTGGTCAACTAGGGTCGCCCCACTTACTGCACTAGGACGCCCCACTTACTGGTCAACTAGAGACGCCCCACGTACTGGCCAACTAGACGCCCCACTTATTGACAACTAGGGACGCCCCACGTATTGTCAACTAGGACGCCCCACGTACGGTCAACTAGGGCGCCCCACGTACTGTCAACTAGAGACGCCCCACGTACTGGTCAACCAGGGACGCCCCACGTACTGGTCAACCAGAGACGCCCCACGTACTGGTCAACTAGGCCGCCCCACGTACTGGTCAACCAGAGACGCCCCACGTACGGTCAACTAGGCGCCCCACGTACCGGGTCAATAGGACGCCCCACGTACCAACTAGGACGCCCCACTACGGTCAACTAGAGACGCCCCACGACTGGTCAACTAGAGACGCCCCACGACTGGTCAACCAAGGACGCCCCACTTACTGGTCAACTAGGGACGCCCCACGTACTGGTCAACTAGGACGCCCCACGTACTGGTCAACTGAGACGCCCCACGTACTGGGTCAACTAGGACGCCCCACGTACTGGTCAACTAGGACGCCCCACTTACTGGTCAACTAGGACGCCCCACGTACTGAACAACAGAGACGCCCACTTACTGGTCAACTAGGACGCCCCACGTACTGAATCAACTAGGGCGC